TTACACACCCATTGGAACAACGTTCATGAAGAATGTGGTCTCATCCGAGCTATGTAGGTTGCTGAAACAAAGCTTGCAATATGACCTACGAAACTGAGCTGGCAGGGGACTGTAGCCAAAATTGAGTTTGTCTTTAAGCTCTTCGTCCATTCATCCAAATTAGGCCATAACATGCATGGATTGCATCATTTACTATCCAAAGCCCTCATTATTACCTAAAGCTCAATGAACTGAAAGATAAACACAAAAAGGATTAAAAGCACAAGTTTAACTCAAAAACATAACCAAATCATAAGCTAGAAGGGTACAAAATGATATGTAAATATGCACCGATCAACTATCGCTTGTTTACCCAAAAAAGAAATAGTAGCTTTGGTTCTTGTTCCCCTCATTCTATACTTTTTCCTTCTTCTATTTTTTCCCTAAATAATGTAGGGGAGGGGGAAGGGGGGCTTCCAAAGTGTAGATCTTTCACCTTCAGTATGCTGCAGGGTGTGCGCTTGTGTGCTGTAACATTCAATGAGGAGTTAATCTTACGAAATCCTCTAGTTATAGAACGTACTTCAGACTCTTTCTCAGTCAATACCACAGTCTGTGGGAAAAAACAATTAAAGGAAAAAAAACTCTCTTCATGATGGAAGTAGACAAGTGATGACTTAATTGTTTTAGTCAAATATGGGCTCGTCTTTTTCTAGTCTTAAATACACTACAAAGAAAAGTAGACTTACAAGTCAAAAGAAGAGAAGGTGAAATTGGTACTTAGGTGAATGGGGTAATTTAAAATCTCAATAGACATATCTAAGACAATAATGATTAACTGTTCCTGGTAAGAAAAAAAATTTGATTTGCAGACTAATGATCTCAAGTTCGAACCTTCATGGCATCTTGGTAGTGTATATGAGAAACCACACTGTCATCTAGTTTAGACTATCGCTTCCTATATATATATATAGGGGGCAGATCCGTGGCACTATGTTTTTTACACAAGTTTTGATACAATTTTTGGGTCATTAGAGTACTCTACTTTCAATGGTTGAGATTAAACCTAACATGACAAATAATTTTAATTTCTTAATTAGACAATTATTAATTTTATTTTCTCTCTCATACAAATAAAAGAAACGATTTTCTCTCTCCTCCCTTTTTCTTGGTAATCTCTCTTCTTTCTCGCACACATCTCTCTCTCTCTCTCTCTCTCTCTCTCTCATGAGACCAGAAAAAACATCGCTCTCTTTCTCTCTCTATCTGCAACAGGAGTCTCCTCCCTTCCTCTCTTTCATGAAACCAAAAAAGCCCTCCGTCTTTTTTTGAGGGTTTGATTTAGGGATTTAAATCTTCTCATATCTGAAAATTTTGACTATTACTGTTTTTTTTTTCATTAAGAACTTTTATCGTTTTAATAGAGAGAGAATGCAAAGTGAAAATTTGATGCCACAACATTTGATGATTATCTTGTGAAGAAGGCAAGTTCTATTGATCAACCTTCACTTTTACCGATTAGATGAGCTTAGAACTTCTTTAATTTGAATCACCATTCATGATTAAAAATGATGTTCTATGACTGGCAGCTATCCTTTTGGAACTATTGAAATTCTTTTGATTTTGATTAAGATTCTTATGATTGAAAACTTATGGACAGTATTCTTACAATGTGAACAGGAATATTAGAACATTAAGGATGAACAATGTCCAAGATGGCACCTGGCATGGTCGGGGTGATACAATATACTGGGCATTTTCTTTGAGCTAAAGATTGTTGTGAATCATGAGCTTAATAAACTGGGCATTTACCATTCCAGAAATTGGCTACAACTATGATTGCAAGTTGACTTGAAATTTGATTAATTTCCCCGGAGATATGGACTGAGAGTTGGAGGAAATATCTTGTGTGTGCTCCAACATTTTGATGATACAACATCTGTATTAAGATAGGAGAAATTGCTTTGACATAAAAGAAAAAACTACTGAAGATGAATTGATGGCTGCATATGCATGTGCGTGAAGAATGGGAAACTGAATGAGACTCTTCATGGTTTGGGCCTTTAGTTTTTATATTACACCTTAATAAATATTTGATATTAAAGAGGCAGCTGGGATTACGTCTCCAAGAAAAAAGGGAAGAGAGAGAAAATCATTTCTTTTATTTTTATGAGAGAAAATAAAATTAATGATTGTCTATTTAAACATTTAAAAATACTTGTCATGTGGGGTTTAATCTCAACCATTGAAAGTGGAGTAATCTAATGGCCCAAAAATTGTGTCAAAACTTGTGTCAAAAATATAGTGCCACGGATCGGCCCCTATATATATATGAAAATATAGTAATTTATATGTTGTCATTGTTTATACTTATTCAATTTTATATAAGAAAAAAATCCTGTAAACTTTTGTATATATAAAAAAATTCATATGTCCATGTTTTACCCTTTTTTTAATTTATAAAAATGGCGATAGTATTTTATTAAATTAATAAGAAAACATCATAATTTCAAGAAAATGATCATGATGCCTATCCCAAAGTGTTTAATACTTCCAAGCTATCCCAATTCTCTTTTTGGTTTTTTTTTAGATAATTGGTGTGTCGGCACCTTACGTTGTGTTATAAGCATGAATTTGTAGCAGGAGTGGAGGGAAATGCAAAAGGGAAAATTGCTTTGTTGGTGCATCTGGCTGGCTAGTTTACAATGATTTCCTTCAAGTGACAAATCAAGACGTGGTTTTCCATTTCGTTCTGTGGATCATCCCGGAGTATAAGTGGTGAAACATAATTGCCTTCATTGCTCTTGTGGTTTCTTCCTTTCCTCAACCTATCAAGCTGTCCATGGAGCACACACACTTGTGCTTTACTTTCAGATGAGACAGCCTTCTGTATATTGCAGTAATCCGCTACACTTTCTTATTGAAACTCATTCGATTTATATATGTGAATTACAAAAGAACCTATAATGAACAAGAGAAATAATACCTCCTCTCAAACAAGAGAAATAAATAGATAAAGAAGATATATAAATGGATTTAAAGTACGTCTTTGAAGCATGATTAAAAGCCCATAACATGTCAAGAAGCTCAGTGTGTGTAAAAGGACATAAAAGGATATAAATAATATTGTATATGAAAAGAATAAAAAGCAAGATCACTCCTAATACTGGATCAATGAGAGAGAGAGAGAGAGAGAGAGAGAGAGAGAGAGAGTAAATGCTGATAAGTGACTCTCTATGCAAAAGTTTAAACCCCTGAGAAATAATTGGCTCAGTATCATTTATCAAGAAAGTTAGACCCAGGATTGACTAATAAGCAGTATTATCCACTCTGTCTTCTCATCATCAGGAAGATATTTGAGTAGAAAGACCTCTTCTGGATTAGTATTCAATAACATGTGTATGGCCTTCAAAACTTGCAATCTACTGAGGTTCGGTATCTTTGAGACCACTGCAAGTACATCCTCTCCTCTGAGTTGCGGTTCATTTGACTTGCCGAAAACTCCTTTTGTGAGTCTGCCGCCTCACCAATTGCTTGTGCCAATGGATCCTTTTTCGCTTTCTTATTTGGATGCAAGCCGGAAATTGAAGTTGACAGATGTGTCGAAGTATGTAAGTTGGGAATGAAATTCTCATCATTTTCTTGTTTAACCTCCATATTTTCTTCAGCACAATAACAGAGAGAAAGTAAAGCATAAAAAACATCCACTAAAGCAGCAAAGAAGTGCATTAACTGCTGACTATTACAACCACAAGGACAAAAGATGTGTTGGAGTTCATAATCACATGTAGAAGCAGTTTCATCATTTTTATTATACAGAAGATGGGGAATATTGTGAATATTTAATTTTGTTAAGTTTTCGAAAGAGAGAAAAGCATCGAATCACTCCCGAAAATATCAAATTCAAAGGCAGCTCCCTAGTGAAAATAGGAAAATTCATCACTCAAAACTGTTCCAGTCACACTTAAATAAATGTTAACCACCCCATCTCATTAGTTGACTAAAAGAATTCTATTTATCATCCAGAACAAGGCAAACTTGAGATTCTATTTATCTTGTACTGCAAGTGTGTATGACAAGGGAGTGATAAGTGGAAGTGGAAAATCATAAGACACAGGAGCAGAAACCAATGAGAGGGTATAAAAGAAGAACAACTGAATAAACAAATGGAAACAAAAACCTAACAATTCATAGATAATCAATGGATTAGAAATGAAAGTTGAAGACAGGGTTTAACAAAGCTGAAAAGGACAAAAACACATATAAACTAAAGCAAGCTCAACATTAGAATGACCTGTAAATGGCTCTTTCAATGGGATGCCCAAATGTACGCAACTGGTGAGCTTAACGACCTCATTGGCAAGTCGGGCCATGCGCTTTCTAAGTACCCAAGTAACTAGTCAGATTGCGATGGCTTATTAAAATCTCAGATTTTTTGCAATAGCAGAAAGCTGGCTGTGATCTTCATTCGCATTCATTAACTTTGCGAGGGCAAAAACTGCAAGTAGAAACAGAGGCTTAGCTATGATATGCTCATTGCTTAACTACTATCTATTGGCAAAGAATGGCTCCCAACCTTTCAAACCCTAAACGCTCCCAACCTTTCAGCGCCGCATCCTGGGGGGGAGGTGGTCTGCCCCTCCTCCCCTTCCCTCCTCTTCCTTTCTCTCGTTTAATCTCTCCTTGGTTTGGTTTTGCCCCTTTCTCTTTGACTGTTTCCTCCTCACCTTCTGTGGTGATTAGCCTCACCCTCGGTGGTGATTTTGCCTCACCCTCTGTGGTGATATTGCTTGGGCTTTTTGCTCATTTCTGGACGTTTTTCGTCTACTGCTACTGTGGCTGCTTTTGGGTGGGTTCGTGGTTTTCTGGTGGTTCCTTCGGCGGTCGGCGCGGTGGTGGGCTCTGTTTTTGGTGCTCCTATCTAGATATACTCAGATCTATTCGTCCCCGGGGGTTGCCCTTCGGTTTGATCGTTTTGGGTGATCTCTGCTCTACCTGGAGCTGCTTGAGCTTGCTTCTATTATGCTTGTTCTCCTCCGATTCCTTGCGGCCTTGTCTCGATGTTGGATCTTCTCCACCGTGTTACGTTCTGGCGGGGCTCTCCTCAGTAATACTTTTGCTGTTGAGGATGCTTTTAAAGTGCGTCTGGCACTTACCTCTCGGATTATGGTAGCGCTCTCTGTAGCTGTGATGGCGTATCCATCAGCCATCTTCCTCTCGGTTCCTTGGCTTCTGTGATTTCTCTGGTGGTTTTGGTCTTGCGTTGGGTGCTTTGCCAATTGGTTATTGGTGGTGCGGCATTTCTCAGTTTCTTGTATTACGGGTTTTCTTTTGTTTCTTGGCTTTTGTTGTGTTTTTTTTTTAATTTGACTGGGTAAGAAGCTCGGTTCTAGCCTTGAACTGAGGTCTAGCTGTTTCTACCGGGTTCGTGTATTTCTGGCTCTGTTTGCAATCTGTCCCGTTTTGGTTTCTTTGAAACCAAACATTGACCACAAAAAAAAAAATCTATTGGCAAAGAATGATTAATCATATTAACGCCGTCATGAGTTCTCAAAGTTAAGGCACTAATCATATAACAAATTAACAATAATATGATCTAAAATAGGGTATTATCCGTTACCAAGACAAGCAAAACCAGCTGCTGAGGAAGCCAATCCAGCAGCAGTAGGGAAATTGTTGTATGAAGCAATTGTACATTCAACTTTTCCCAATCCTTCTTAGTAATCTTGATTCCCTTTTCCTTATCATGAACATCGGTAGCTTGACTACGAATTTCCCTTAAACAGCTCTGGAATCTGCCTCCAGAAAGAGAGATTTCCCAAAACGATCATAGTATTTGTAAAAGCAATTATGGGAGCTGATTTCCCCACTCCCCTTTTCTCCACTTACACTCCCTTTTGCTTTTCAATAATTTTTAATCAATTTTGTTCCTTCTCTTTCCTATTCTACCCTTATCCTATATTATTTCTTTTTTACTTCACTTTTATATTATTTCTTTTTCTTTATACTTAATTTTCTAACTTACACTCCATTTTCAATATTAAAGGGAAAAAAAACTTAATTTCTTACTTGATTAAAGGAAAAAAGATACTGAAAATGGAGTGCAAGTTGGAAAATTAAGTATAAAGAAAAATAACTAATATAAAAGTGAAGTAAAAAGAAATTAATGTAGGGTAAGGGTAGAATAGGAAAGAGAATGAACAAAATTGATTAAAAAGTATTAAAAAGTAAAAGGGAGTGTAAGTGGAGAAAAGGGGAGTGAGGAAATCATATCCCATTATTAAACCTCTGAGAATTCTGTGACAAAATTAATAGTGCCAATTTTTAAGTTTTAGTTCCAACTTGTAACCCAATTTGTACAAATTTATGATTTTAAAACTCAAGACCCACACATTTATGATCAAATTGAATGATTCGGTCGAGTTGACCCAAAATTGTGCCCACCCCTAAAGAGAGATAATGTAGGCCGTGCAGTTCATAAAATGAAAAATATAAATAATTTTATACCAACTTTAGCATCAAAAAGTAAGTTTTTGGCTTATGTGTGGCTTTCTTCATTTTCATCTCTGTTTTTGGCTTATGTGTGGCTTTCTTCATTTTCATCTCTCATACTTTTCTTATTCTTTTTAATAAAAGTACGGATAAAAAAGTATGAATGGAAACATCCAAGATCATTTGCCACTAACAAAAGCATGGATAAAACATCCCCACGCATAATGCATGCTTAATTAAGTTGCTTTTTTTCGTTTTGTTGTTTCTCAATGGGACTTGCCTTTCTCATTTTTAACATTTTGTGTTAGCTTGTTGTATTTCCAGTAATATAAGGAACATGAGACGCAATCAAATGAAAAACACACTCAAGGTACATCAATAAATAAATATAGAAAAGCATCACACACTCGAAAAAAGATTGGGGCCCTTAGAACTTTTTCAATTTTGTTTTCTCTAACTTTATCTCTTTTGTTACATGATAAGTCATTTAAATAAATAATTTTTTTTTTTTTTTACACAAGCAATATTGGAAAAGGTGGGAATCAAATCTAAGACCTTGGCTACAAAATTCAGAGTTTCACTTTAGTCCATACAAGTCTTGCCATTTACGTTTTGTAATTCAATAGTTATTGTAATTTGAGGGTAAATACTTAATCTTGTTATCTTTTACCGTTAAGAATGGACACTTACTATATTTCGAATGGTAATGTCTCGATATTTTGAACCAAACAAACAACTGTCCAGGGTTGACAAGAGTTTGTAGCAATTTTATATTAAAATTACATGGACCCATTTTGTGTAATATTAGTTTTCTTTTGTCTTACTCTTATTTTGTGTGTTGTTTTCCACAGTTGTACTAGAGATACACCAACTATTAAGTGTCAACTAATATATGACAATATCTTATTTGTTATGAATAAATAAGTTCTAAAATTAAAACACTGTAGCTCATAGTAGACACGTTAGCCGTTAACGTCTGATCAAACGGTGAATTTAACGGATAGATTTAAATTGAGCAAATTTGAAAACCATGGGGGTAAAATGATGAAATTGAAATATGGGGGCACATATTGAGAATGATCCCATACCTTTAAGGGTCTTTTGATGTTAGCCCTTTAGAAATCACTTTCTCACTCTTCAACTTAATTTTCACTATGCAATATTATTTACCAGGAATCTACCCTGAGTGTTGGTAAGGTGAGGCAAACAAAATCAGCTCCAATAAAAATAGACACCAATATATCAAAACTGTGGGCACTCCCTCACTCTACAAGAAAGGCATAGAAGATGTGAGTGAAGAATGATGTGTTTATAGCTGAAGGTGGGAAATCATCTGACAACCATGAAGGATAATAGGCCGACTTCACAGGGGGAGGAGGGTGCGAAAGCGAGTCTGCCATACTCATACAGCCAGTGTTGAAGATCATCAAGGAACATGAAAGCAAAAGAATATGCACCAAGTCATTGAGGCTTGCCATTTCTAGGCTGTGAGAAAAGTAGACTGAGTACACAGTGGTAACAAGGAAGGACTATATATGCTATATATTATTCGAAGCTTGAAACGTATTTGGTGTATAGTTTTTGTATTTGTCCACCACAGCGTGCATTAAAGAAATAAGAATGCATATAAAAATGATGGAAGGGGTTAAGCAAAACGTTAGCCTATATAATCCAGAAAGTGGTTGTATGTAATTTAAGTAATTTTGAGTTAAGAATTGTCGTTGTAGACACGTTAGCGGTTAACGTCTCATCAAATGGTGAATTTAACGGATAGACTTAAATTGAGCAAATTTGAAAATCATGGGGGTAAAATGATGAAATTAAAATATGGGGGCCCATATTGAGAATGATCCCATACCTTTAAGGGTCTTTTTATGTTAGCCCTTTAGAAATCACTTTCTCACTCTTCAACTTAATTTTCACTATGAAAGATCTAACATTGTGAGACATTATTGAAGAGTATGTTACTGCATATTTTTTTTCCAAGTACTGCCAATATTTTATTTGGTAAACAAGTACTACTCCCAAGTGTAGACACTCTTGAAACGGAGAAGCAAAAATGAAGCAAGAAATCTTGTTGCTCAATTCAAAGAATGAGTGAAATCAAATTATTCTGTGATTTTTGTAATTTCCTGTTCAAGGAGATACAGATCATATTACATTGAGTATATTTTTATTTGAATATTTATTTTATTTTATTTATTAATGGAAGATAGGTTATTCGAACTTGAGACTTTGAACATTGAATAGAAAAATACCACTAGAAGACCAAAACACACCAAACTATATAACGAAAACATTAATAATATGAAATATGAAATATTTCATATTTGTCAGTGTGAAAAATACATATACGACATATGTAGGTTAGTCAAGTTGACTCCGGTAGTGTCTATTTTCCAGTATCCAAGTTTGAATTTCTCTCCATGTAACTTAGAGTAATTTAGAATATCTCATCTAAAAGAAAAAAGGTACGGGAAGTTGGTGAGAGACAAACAGTATTTTTCCTCAAGTCTATGCTGTTAGCTCATTAGCTTAAGAGGGCCGTAGTCTGCTTGAACAGTGCCCCAGCAAAGCTAACCTAACTTCGTTGCTGAAAAAGGTTGACATTTAATGAAAATCAGAGTATCAATTGGGCATTCTTTATTTGGTGGTTTCAGTTTGTGGGGTTTCTACATTTAGGTCCAACAAAAGGTTAAATTTTACATATGACTGTTGAATAAACACTCTTCTCGTGACACGTATAACTCAAGTGGTTAAGAGTAGTTACAACATAGTTCCTTCTTAAACTTTTCATGTTACGACCAAAAAAAAAAAAAAAACTTTTCATGTGATTTGACTGCTTGAATGTGAAAGAAAAATTTCATATTACCAAGAATTCTGTTTACACTCCGTGTTTCAATGGGTTTCTATTTTTATTCTCACCATTCTCTGGACACACAACTCTTCCCAAAAATACCATTTCTCTACTTCATCAAAATATTTTTCTTTGGACATCTATCTCCATCATTGATTGATTTCATTTTCTTTGTCACCAACCCTGAACCCAGCTCTACTCATCTCCTCACTTCACCTCATTTAATATACAATGATTGCATACATGTAAAGGAGGGATGAGATGAGAGAATGATGAAAAATAAATTGATGGAGAACCAAAGAGTGAGAGGAAAACTGAAGAAATGAAAACGTTTAGACTTTCATATCCAAAAGAGTTTTGGAATTTCATTATTTTATATAATTATTTTCTAGTTTAAGTTGTAGGGTATATATAAAAGTTTGTTAAAAATAAGAAGAATGCAAGCTATCTTCCCATTTGTGCCTTATTTTTCCACCTTCTTCATGATCAGCTTACACTATGGTTTAATGAACAAAATTTTGTATGTTCTTGGTCACCCTTCAAAGTTCATCACAACAAAAGGGTTATTTTAGGCCTAAGGTAACATACCAAAATCATACCCTTGGGGCCCTAGTCATTAACAATCAAGTTAAGTGCTCTGTTCAACATTGTCCCAAAGGGTATCTACTAAAACTGGTGGACATTACTTTCCGAACCAATTTGGACTCTAATAAGCCACTATCAAGCTGACAAACAAGTTTATGAAAACCAGGTTCATCTGGGTCTGGCCTATCAAGTTTTTTTGCTTGTTTTTGGTTACAAGCGACATTGGGAGGAGGGAATCACATCTAGGACCTCAAGTGTAAGGATAGATGCTCTTAACCGCTTGAGCTACAAGCTCTTGCTAGCCTATCTAGTTTAAGCAAATGGTCAATGGGAGTATTTGGGTTTGCCTACCAAGTTTTCATTATGGCTCTACAAATGTTTGTAATATCCAAGAGAAAGCAGTGATTGGCCTGTAGGCCTTGATGGAATTGCATATGATGGAGCCTTTATGCTACACAACACTACATATCTGCAAGTAATGGGCAAGAACTTGAACATTTCTACAAATTGAAAAGAGGGAAAATGCTTGTGATTGCTTTTCCAGGAAGTCCTTCAATCTTGTACTCCACACATTTAGCACACATTTTATACATAAATTTTGGTACAAGGCATTTTGCAGCTCACAAGTAAGCCTAATACAATCTTAAAATCCACAAAATAGAGCATTGCAAGCCTGACCAAATACAAAAAGTCTGTTTACAAAAAGGCATCTTCTACCATGTGCCCAGAACAACATGTTGAATTATGAAAGGAAAGAATTG